AACCGGGTTGCATATGGCCTCCTTACATGCTTCAAAGGGTGTCTAGCGAGTATTTTGCAATGCTCATTGCTGTAATAACCTGACTGGCGCTTCTTGATCCCCCGGAACGACGGCCACGTGGTTACCAAAAGTGGTACCGGATCGGGTTAAGCAGAATTGGTATGGTTGTAGGTGAGTCGACGCAAGATGAGTCATTTTGGCGCCACACCCACTCGGGGGGGGTGGGGGTGGCGGGGGGCATCATTAGGGGCGATGGATGATCGGCTGGAAGGGACTAGAGCCATTCCAGCCGTGGGAAGCCTGACGACGGACAAGTCGACGCCAGCACGCACATGCTGTGGCCATGCGTCCGTCGGGCACGAGAGAGCAGAAGTTCTGTCAATCCTCGCCTCCACTTCGCTGTCTCTTCAAATGGCGCCTCGTTAGTTTAATTTAACCGGCCTGTTCATATTCGCGTCCCGAGCGAGCATGTGCCGGTGTTCATGTCGCCCGGTGCCCTAACCCCACTGACGCCAGTTGGGCCAACCAAGAGCGAAATGAACGCAGACACTCATTTTGGTAGCACAAAGTGGCCCAAGAGACGAATATGAGGCAAACCCTTGGGCCCAACAAGCTGGTTAAAAGGTGAACAGCGATTAACGTTGCCAAGTGTGTTGGTCTCGCTGATCCAGAGTCTGTGGTGCATCGCCTCGAAGGTATCAACAGTCAAGCCAACCGAGAGAAAGGATAAAACCGTTCTTTTTGCTCGATTGTAAAACAGCATATAAATTGTAGAAAAATTTAAGAACTGTTTACATCAAATTTACTTTAAAGTGATGCTATAAGACCTTTGTTAGTCTCTAAAACCCACTTATAAATGAAAATCAAATTCTATTCACATTTTCATTTAAACTGGCGAGGCACTCTTCCTTGTCGTGATGACACTTACGATTTCCAAAACATAGTAGTGACTGTTAATTTGTGTAAAAGTTTCCGTAAAAGAGATTCGAAGGTCTATCTCTGTAGTTCATCGGAGATCCTTCTTCACCTCTGGTCAACGCCGTTTGAGGTTTTCTATAGCATATAACATAGGCTATCAGAAATGGATTTAGAACTAGCTCTAATTTACCATTTACAATCATAAATCCAAGAGCTGACTATATACGTAGATGTGGAAAAATTTCATTCGATTCATTGTTATGTCAACCAAAATATTTTTCTTTTAGAAGAAAGTTTTTGAGACTATCAATAGATTATATGTTCCTTTCAAAGCGATGAAAGAATAATAGTTGCATTTTTTCTACAATCATATGAATAGGCCTTAAGGTTCCATTGAATGTTAGATAGCCTTGCTTTCCAAAAGGTATTCTGATCCTGGCTGGAGTGGATTGCAGTTTAGATCTCACCTGGACTAGTTTCATCGGCACCCGCAGCGGGACTCGAACCCGGGTTCTGACAGTTCGGCGTATAATCTCCACATGTTAACCACCACGTCACTCTGCCACGAGTGCCGTCGGGTTACATTTCCGTGGTGAAATTGTTATAGCAGTAGACTACATTTCTTATTTGTCGGTTATAAATAGGCTTTCAAGGCTACCGGTACATCATGTATATGATATGTTTGAGAGTGAGCAGGAGAACTGGTAAGGAGACGAGGGATAAAAACAGTTTTCAAAGAAATCCTGACGCTTTCTTTAGTTAT